GGGGGGTGGAATATATAGTGAGATGTCCTCAGGAAGAACCAAACTAAGTTTATCTCTTACTGTGCTCATACAGAATGACATTGCTAGAAATATTGGAAGTAGACTTACTACAACTATTTAAGTAGATTACTAGCTGAGGAGAGAACACACCCTTGTTGGGATCCCACCCTTGAGCAGATCTCCTAGTAATCTGGAATAAATCTCTTTAGATGAGATTTAATCCTTGAGTTAACCTCTCTTTGCTGATTTGTTAATGTTCAACCCACCTTTGTGTCACCACCCTACGTGATTGCTTTATAAACTAAGACTGTAAGCTCGAAGGGGGCTTGGGCTCAAGAGAGCAGAGACTGAGGCTCAGGCTGAGGCCCAGGCAGAGGCTCAAGCTAAGGCTTGGGCTCGGGAGCTTGGGCTCCAGAGGGCAGAATCAGGTGAGAGTGAAGATTGGAATAAACTACAATTGATACCGACCATCGTTTGTTCCTTCGCCTGCCCATCGCCATCGACCTCCCTGGGGTGGGGGAGACGACTCAAGACTTCCGAAGCACCGCTGGACTTTCTGAAAACACCCACCTTCCTTCCTATCCTATGGAAAGCATGCACTCTGCCACCAAGAACCACCCTCAGTCCCTGGAGTGCATTTCCGGAGAGCCTCTCTGGAGGTTCCAGAGAGGATCACAGCTGCTGATGTGCCCTCCTGTGAAGGTTACGTGCTTCAACCAAGTGGGTGGCACTGTGTGCACAGGGAGGGAGGAAAGGGATACCCCTTGAGCCAGTCAGATCCGCCAGGTCGGCCCTGGCAACCAGTGGTGGACAGATGTTGCAGCCAGACTATCCTCACATCCTGGAATGTATTTTGTTTCCTTTGGAGTTTTTGGGCCACACCCAGTGGTGCTCAGGGGCTGCTCCCAGTGCTGTGCTTGGGGGTAACTCCCAGGGACCACATACAGTGCCAGGATCGAACTGGGGTCAGCCATGTGCAAGGCAAGCGCCGTCTCCACTGACTTATCTCTCTGGTCTTGGAATGCATTTCTTAATGAGGGTCACAGTTAAAATATTTTTTGCAAAGTATCATTCAGCAATTAAAGATAGGAATTCTGTCATTTTTGACAACGCAGACTGACATTGGGGACATTAAACAAAGGGCAAAAAGGCAAAGGAGGAAACTACTGCATGATCTCAAATTACATGTGGAATCTTTTTGTTTTGTTTTGAGGCCACACCCAGCAGTGCTCAGGGTTTGCTTCTGACTCTACTCAGGAGTCACTTTTGGTGGTGCTTAAGGGGCTGTATGGTGTAGGGGATTGATTCTGGATCAGCCATGGGCAAGACAAATGCTTTTACCCCTGTTCCTTCCCGCTAGCCCCTAAAAGTGGAATCTTTAAAAAGTCATTTCATTTTTCATTTCATTTCATCATCCTGTTATTCGTCGATTGCCTCGAGCAGGCCCCAGTAACGTCTCTTTCATCCTAGCCTGGTGACATCTTATCAGAACTTTTTTTATGACATCTTATTGTCTCATTCCTACTTTGGACAAACTTGCAGGCTATCGAATGTAGCCTGCCCACAGGGCAGAGTCTGGCAAACTCCCCGTGGCGTACCAAATATGCCAAATGCCAAATACCAGTAATAATAAAAAGTCAAACTTGTTATTTTTAAAGGCTTGCAAAGCACTGGTTTAAAATGTGCATTCTTTCATTTTCATTCGTTGACACTTTGATCTCTGTCACTTTTCCTTTTGAATAAAAAGTGCAGTAATTAGTAACCAGAGCAGCAGGGGCCAATTCCAGGTTTGCAAACAGTTGGAATGCAAAAACTGTGGCCCTTTCCTCCCTGCTTGGAGTCAATCAGATATCACTGGGGCGGAAGGACACACTCTCAAATCTCAGTAAGAGGGTCCATGAAATTGTGATTGGCATCTGAGACCAGAGTCCTGCCTTATCTTTCAAGATGGATGAGCCCACTCTTCTCCCATGTGACTGCAATGATCCCACGGCCTCCTGCTGTCCCTTGGACACCACATTCCCTCCCAGTCCTTCACCCAGCCAGAGTCTCCGCCCAGCTCAAAGACCTCTTTCCTCTCCTGATTCCTGACATCTTTTGAACTCTATGAGTATTAAAAAGCATGACAAGTCTTCCTTAGAAATACTTTTATTATTATTATTATTATTTATTTTTGGGGGGCTGGAGCGATAACACAGCGGTAGGGTGTTTGCCTTGCACGTGGCCAACCGGACTGAGCTGGGTTCGATTCCTCTGCCCCTCTTGGTGAGCCTGGCAAGCTACCCAGAGTATCTTGCCCGCACAGCAAAGCCTGGCAAACTACCCATGATGTATTCGATATGCCAAAATACCGTAACAACAAGTCTCACAATGATGACGTTACTGGGCCCACTCCAGCAAATCGATGAACAATGGGAGGACAGTGACAGTATTATTTTTTATTTTTTTTTGCTTTTTGGATCACACCCGGTGATGCACAGGGGTTGCTCCTGGCTCAAAGACTCAGGAATTACTCCTGGTGGTGCTCGGGGGACCATTAGGGATGCTGGGAATCGAACCCGGGTCAGCCGCATGCAAGGCAAATGCCCTACCCTCTGTCGCTCCAGTCCCAGAAATACTTCTAAAATATACTTTACTGTTCACTTTGCTGTTCCAAGGGAGTAAGAAAATAGGGCAGTCACAGGAGAAAACAAAAACCACACTTCAAGTCCGCCCAGGGCCACCCTGCCCTCTACATGACACATGATTATGTTTATTAAAGCTAGGATTGCATTATCATATATGGTGTCTTTTAATTACTTCTTTTCTGATTTTGTTTGGGGCCACACCTGGAGGTACTCAGGTACTATTTCTCCCCCTGTGCCCAGGGGTTACTGGCCCTGTGGGACTTGGAGGGGATTTCAGGGACTGAAAAAGTTAGTCCCAGACAAGGCAAGTGACCTAACCCCCATACTATCTCTCTGGTCCTCTTCAACATGATTCTTTTAGGGGAGGTCACACCTGGCAGCGTCCATAGATTACTTCTGGCTCTGTGCGCAGTGATCCCTGCAGGGTTTGGGGAGTTGCCAGTAAGTCTGAAAGGACCGTGACCCCATCCAGCCTATAGATGATCTTTTACTGGGGGGGCGGGGCGTGTGCTGTGCCTGCAGCTGATGCAGGCAGCTGGTGCATGCAGCCTGCGGGGCTGGGTGTCCACGCCACCTGGGTCTCAAATACTGCTGAAGCATGGTGGGAGCGACAGGACAGCGGGGAGGGCACTTGCCTTGCACGGGGCCAACCTAGGTCCGATCCCTGGCGCCCCACAGGGTCCCCGAGCACCGCCGGCAGTGATCTCTGGGCGATGAGCCAGGAATCAACCCTGAGCATCATCCAGTGTGGCTGATTTTTTAAAATTAAAAAAAAAAAACTATGACTATGGGCGGTGTGCCCCCAAGCTCCTGATGTGTCTTCAGCGGCAGGAAGGAGAGGGCCTCTCGGTCAGGGGGAGGCCCGGTCCCTGTTGCCCCGTGCCCGCTAGCGGCAGGCCGGCCGCCTTCCCGCCCCCTCGGCCCTCGGCCCGCGCGGGCTGCCTGGGCGTCTGCGGAATCCCCCGGCCCGCCGGGCTCTCACCTGGCGCCGTCGCCGCCGCCCGCGTCGCGGCTTCCGGGGCTTCCGCGTGGGCCCCGAGGCGCGGGGCGTCGGCGGGGTCGCGGCGGGGCCCGAGGCGGGGGTCGTCGGGCCGGGGTCGCGGCGGGGTCTGAGGCGGGGGTCGTCGGGCCGGGGTCGCGGCGGGGTCTGAGGCGGGGGTCGTCGGGCCGGGGTCGCGGCGGGGCCTGAGGCGGGGGTCGTCGGGCCGGGGTCGCGGCGGGGCCTGAGGCGGGGGTCGTCGGGCCGGGGTCGCGGCGGGGTCTGAGGCGGGGGGTCGTCGGGCCGGGGTCGCGGCGGGGCCTGAGGCGGGGGTCGTCGGGCCGGGGTCGCGGCGGGGCCTGAGGCGGGGGTCGTCGGGCCGGGGTCGCGGCGGGGTCTGAGGCGGGGGTCGTCGGGCCGGGGTCGCGGCGGGGCCTGAGGCGGGGGTCGTCGGGCCGGGGTCGCGGCGGGGCCTGAGGCGGGGGTCGTCGGGCCGGGGTCGCGGCGGGGCCTGAGGCGGGGGTCGTCGGGCCGGGGTCGCGGCGGGGCCTGAGGCGGGGGTCGCCGGGCCGGGGTCGCGGCGGGGCCCGAGGCGGGGGTCGTCGGGCCGGGGTCGCGGCGGGGCCCGAGGCGGGGGGCGTCGGGCCGGGGTCGCGGCGGGGCCTGAGGCGGGGGGCGTCGGGCCGGGGTCACGGCGGGGCCCGAGGCGGGGTGGGGGGGGCGTCGGCGGGGTCTGAGGCGGGGGTTTTCGGGCGCCGGGTCACGGCGGGCCCTGAGGCGGGTCGCGCGGACCTGAGGCACAGCCCCGGGCGGGGGTCGCCGGGCCTGAGGCGGGGGGCGTCGGCGGGGCCTGAGGCGGGGGGGCGTCGGGTCGGGTCACGGTGAGCCCTGAGGCGGCGGGCCTGAGGCACAGCCCCGGGCGGGGGTCGCGGCGGGCCTGAGGCGGGGGGCGTCGGCGGGGTCGCGGCGGGGCCCGAGGCGGGGGGCGTCGGCGGGGTCGCGGCGGGGCCCGAGGCGGGGGGCGTCGGCGGGGTCGCGGTGAGCCCTGAGGCGGGTCGCGCCGGCCCGAGGCGGGGGTGAGGGGCGGGGGGTCGCGGCCGGCCCGGGGCGGGTCACCCGCGCGGGCCCGGGGCGGGGGGCGGCGGGCGGCGGCGGCGGCGGGGCCGGGGCGGGTCGCGCGGGCCCGAGGCGCGGGTCCCCGCCGCCTTCCGCCGCGCGCCCCGCCCCGCCCGCCCGCCGGCCCCGCCCGCCGCCGCCATGTTGGGCTCCGCAGCCGGGACGCGGCCCCGCCGCCAGGTAAGCGCTGCCCGGGCCGGCCCGACGCGCCGCCGCCGCCTCCCCGGGCCCGGGCGGGCGCGACGCGGCGACCCCGCGGGAGCGGCCGGGCCAGGCCGGGAGCGCGCGGGCGGCGGACACTCGCCCCGCCGGGCCCTGCGCGCTCCGCCCGGCCGGCCCGAGCGCTGACCTCGGAGGCCGCACGGCCGGTGGCCAGCGCCGCGCGGGCGGGTCCTGCAGGCCGCGGGCCCGGGCGGCGCGGACGCCCGCGGAGTCCGCGCGGCGAGCGCACGGGCGGCCCGCGGAGGCGCCGCCGGGGCGAAAGCCCGGAGGGCGGCGGGCGGAGGTGAGCCGGGGAGGGCGCCGGCGCGCCGGGCCGCCCGGGCCCCGGGGCAGGGCCGTCGGGCAGACGGGGAGGGGGCAGCGCGTCTTCCCCAGCTCCGGCGGCCGGAGGGCCGGACGGGCTCGGGCCGGGGTCCGGGCCTGGCCGGGCTGGCCGGGGCCACCGGGAGGGCTTCCCGAAGGAAGTGACGTTTCTGGGCAAGCCCTGCAGGAGGCTGAGGAGTCGAGCATGTGAGGAAGTGAGAGGCCCGCGGGGCCGCAGGGGGCGGCAGGAAGGCCCGGCCGGGGGGCCCGGGAGCCTTGGCGAGTTTCGAGGGTGGGGCGGGACCTCGGCAGGGTCTCCGGCCGCTGCGGGAACGGGCTTTGAGAGAAGCTGCTGTGGCCTCAGGTGTGGGGTGTCCTCACTCCCGGGGGCTCCCGGGCAGGTGCCCGCTTTCAGGGGTTAGGGCCTGGGCCGGGCCCTGGCCGGTGCTTGCCAGGGTTAGAGACCTCCACCCTTCCTGCCGCCCGCTGCTGCTGCTGCTGCTGCTTCTGCGCCTGCAGCCGGCAGCTGCCAGATCTGAGGCTCAGACCCCGCCCGCGGCCACACTCCTGGAATTTGCATCTAGCGTCTCTGATGATTTTGAGTCATTTCACCTCGTTTGTGCCCCATTTTCCTTTTCGAGAAGCTTCAGACTTTGCCCGATGTAGATGCACTTGGAAGTACCTGGCGGCGCGGCAGGGGTTGCCTCCATCCAGATCAAATGAACCCGGGTGTAAACATTGTAGCACTCAGCTTAAGGGTTAGTTGCCACCATTTAGAAATGGAAAACATCCTTGCTGCCTCTGGATCTGACTGTGGTCATGTTGGGTGAGATTGAAAATGCAACTTCATTTTTGAATCTTGTGAGTCAGTCTGTCTCTCTCAGTCTCTCTCTGTCTCTCTCCGTCTCTCTCCGTCTCTCTCTGTCTCTCTCCGTCTCTCTCCGTCTCTCTCTGTCTCTCTCCGTCTCTCTCTGTCTCTCTCCGTCTCTCTGTCTTCCTTCGTCTCTCTCCATCTCTCTCTCTCTGTGTCTCTGTCTCTGACTCTCTCTGTCCCTTTCCATGTGTGTCTCTCTTTCCTTCCCTCCCTCCCACCCTCCCTCCCTCTTCCCTTCTCCCTCCCACCACCAAAAAACCCCCCAACTTATTGCCCAGGCTGGAGCAATAGTACAGCAGGGAGGGCACATGCCTTTCACACAGTCAATTCAGGTTTCATACATGCCCCCCACCCCATATGGTTCCTCTAGGACCACCAGGAGTGATCTGCAAGTGATCTGCCAGGAGTAAGCCCTGGGCACTGCAGAGTGTGACCCCCAAACAAGCAAAATATGTGTATACTAAAAACCTATATACACAATATTGTCCATGCCTTGTTGGGCTTCCCACTTTTTGACACGGGGCTATCTCTTTTGGCTATGGGGTGCATTGTTCCCATCTCCCCCCAAGAGCTTGGGGGGCTCAGAGAGGTCATGTATTTGGGAGAATGAGCCACAATGAAACGTTTCTCTACTCTCCCTGTCCTCTGCTGTACCTGTCACTGCTTCTTTAAATCCCGAGAAAGTAGAGAAGACTTCAGAGACTTGAACTGAGCCTTGGAGAAAGAGTAGCAATTTTATAGTCAAGTCAGACTGAACAAAGAAGATTCTGGTTTGAGAGGGCCATGGGTGACAGCATGGAACCCTAAATGACTTGTCTGGGGCTGAGGCTGGAAAGCCTAGTGGGCACTTCGGAAGACAGGTCAGGGGGTGTGGATTTGACGCTGGCACCTCCAGACTATCAGAAACACGGCAGTAGGCATTGTGCCAGAGAGTGAGGGTTCTCGGCCGCGTCCCCCACATTCCGGTCTGTAAGGCCCAGCGAGATGGGCTCATTAACCAGATTTGGTGGAGACAGATGCTTAAACTCAGGCTCTTAACTGGCCAGGAGACACTTGCGAATGATAGATGTTTCTGTCTTCTGGGATTGGGTCGTCCCCTCCCCCCATCACAGCTGGAGCAGACCAGCAAATGTGCCGGTTGGTTCCTTTGCTTTTCTTGAACGCCATGAAAAACTCCTAGTTTGGTCTGGCCTCTCTAAAAGCTCTTCAGACCGGCACCAGCACTAATTAGTTGTCGATGGGACGAATGCTCTTAGACCGTTTCGGTGGGGTCTGTATCTGGATTTTTTTTTTTTTTTTAGAAAGAAATATTGGAAACGGGTGTTCTTAGAATTGGGTTATTGAAAGCTTGATTAAGGCTTTGAAGTGGTGTGGGGGGTTGTGTGGCTATGGGCTGGTGTATTCCACAGATGTATTGGCAGCTGTGGGAGCAGTCCCAGAAACTCTTGGAGGGGCTATGGGAGACTTTTGGGCTGGAGTCTTCATCCTCCCGCTGCACTGGGGACAGAAGGGACAGTCATGCTGGCTGCTCGCTCAGGGGGTGATTTCCCAGGGGAGTGGTACCAACTAAGCTCTGAGCTGCGTCTGATCTCTATTCCTGCTCCCTAGTGCCTGGGAAGAGCAATGCTCCCACCAGGGTTTTGCACCCATAAAATTTTCCTACAGTGAAAAAAGAAAATCCAAACAGAAGACCAGCCATATTGTGGATTTTTTTTCCTTTTAAAATTCTAATAATAGGGCCAAGGATATGGCTCAGTGGTAGAGCACATGGGGGAGGCCCTGGGTTCAATTCCTGCTACCACCAAAAATAAAATGAAACTCATAATCATGCACGAATATTCATGTTGAAAATTCATATAGAAACTACTGGTATAGCAATACAGATACATGTAAATAGGAAACAAAATTGGCAAATCCTGTGGCCTGAAGCCACTACTAACTAGTTGGTTTTTGTTTTTGAGCTACATCAGCAGTGCTCAGGGCTTACTCCTGGCTCTGTGCTCAGGCATCACTCCTGGCAGTGCTAGGGGGACCATGTGAAGCCAGGGGTCCAACCAGGGTTGGTCATGTGCAAGGCAGGTGCCTTAAGCCCTGTACCCTCTCCCTGGCCCCTTCCATGTCCATTCAGCCTTTTCTTTTCTACAAAAATAGGGCATCCCAAGTGGCAGAGGGTTCTGTGTGCTGATGAGGAGTGGCTACTTGGGCCCAGGTTTGTGTGTGTCCGCGTGTGGGCACCTGGTCCCTGTTCTCCGCACACACACTCCCCGAGTGTGCTGAGTGACAAACCACCAGCGAGACCCTTCCGAGAAGTGCTTCCCGGGCATGGGTGGGGGTGCTATTCCTTGCGTTCTGCAGGGTAGATGTGTGTGTATAAATACTGCATCTGGGCTTGAGGTCCCCCAGGTCTGTCAGTACTGCGGGCCGTCTTCCTCTCTGAAGAGTCCTTCACCTTCTGCTTTCGAGTCAGCAGGGGTTGGATTTGGAGGGGATGGAGGGGATGAGGTTGGTAGGAGCCGGTGAGTGTGCGTGGTTGGCCGGTTGGGGAGAGGAAGGACTGTCAGCTGGGCATAGGGACTCTGGCTTGGCTGGACATCTGTGACAAGAAGTGGAGTCCAGGAATGAGAATGGCCTTCCATTCTGAGGGTCGGAGTAGGTTGGAGGTGGCATTAAGGATCTCCCACAGAAGCTGGTCCTCATTCCAGAGAAGCCTGCGCTCCACCCATGTCCCCTCCACAGGGATCTCCAGCTCAGCAGGGCAGAGTTATCCAGAGTTCACTTGCATCCTTGGCTTATGGAGTGGGGTGGGCTTTAGCCTTTGGCTTCCCCTTAGCACCTGAAAAATAAATAACCGGTATGCCTAGTTTTGTTTTGGAGGTGAATATCCACGCCCATGAGCAATGACTCCAGCTACCCTGAGGGGATGGTATCGTGGCTGCTCTCTAGGGAGATGGCCCAGGTGACTCCTGAATTCAGGGGGTCAGGCCTCCCCCAGGTAGGAGGAACTGATGGTTTCTCTAGGCGGGTCTCTCGAGGAAGAGCTATTTTTCCTGTGCGCCTTGGCCCGGACTCGGCACAGTTGTAAGAAGGGTGCTGGGGCCTGGGCACTGTGGGGGGCGAGGTGGGCCGGGGGGCAGCTGGTGAACTGGGCAGACTGGACTGCAGAGACAGACTGTTTGTGAGACTGAGTCTCAACGTGCTTCTAGGGTGGGAGCTGCCCTTTCCCCGTCCGCCCAGCGCAGGCATTGCCTTGACAAAAGCACACGGGGCCTTGGCAGCCAGAGCAGAACACACGTTTGCTGCAGTTTACAGCATTCTGCTCCTTCCTGCCAATTCGGAGCCATTCCTTTAGCAAGCCAGGAGCAGAGTGAGATCAGAGCGAGATCTTGAGATAGGCACCCCAGTGCCCTGCAGCCTCGGGAACTGGAGGCAGGACTGGGGCATTTCCGGAGGTGGGGGAAGCCTATTGAGGTTCTTTGGGGACTTGGCCCAGTTGGGGTTCTGGTCCTCGGGGAAAGGGTGTTCTCTGCCTTGACCTCGTTAGACAGACTCGTGACCCGAGCTGAACTGGCTGAGCTGGGAGAAGTGGCTTCACTGTGCTGCAGTATTAAGGCCCTGCCCCTTCAAGTCCTTCTCCCCATTAGCAGTTGTGTGATGGGTGCTCTTCTTCCTCTTCTGTAGAGGGGCCCCCCGTTGCCAAACCAGTTGCTTGAGAGAGGCCCACCCTGGGCCTGCCTAGCACTGGTTGCTTGGTGGAGCATGAAAAAGCGTGAACTTTGCCCTGGAGGAGTTCCCCCACTGAAAGCAATTAGAGAGCAATTTTCTTCCAGACCAGAAGTGTCCTACAGGGCTTTGCTCTCAGAGGGTGGTGGGTGGGTCCTTTCTCACAGGTCACCCCTCTGAGATGGCGGGGGTTACCCCTTAGAGTCTTCGCTGGTACCTGCAGTGGATCAAATGTCCTTTGGGGAGGAGGGCCGTGGAGGTGGCTGTGTGATCTCATCTTCCCCTGCTGCTCTTCCCTTGGCATGTACTGTCTCTCCAGGTGCCCGTGCCCTTTTGGGGACCGTCTGCCTGCAAACTCTGAATCCCAGTGCCTCCCACACCACTGC